AAAGGAAGTGGGCTCATTGGAATTTCTTTTTCTTTCAAGAAATCCATCATAAAGATGGAGGAGTTTAGGCATTGGATCTGAAATATGAAGAAAAATAAAAGTGATAGGACTGGGCCCCTCGCGTGTATACAAACATGTTTATATATCTGGTTAATGACTAAAGATCAGCGTTTAAGGGTTATAAAATATCAAAAATAAAAGGCTCAGGGGGTAATAGGACTCCCGTGAAGTATTAGTGTGTAGTTGAGAATTAGCTAATAGGTTAGGGGGTCATTTGGTCATTTTCTATAAAAAGAGAATCAAGATCTGAAAAACTAATTTTTTATTTCTTTTCCACATCAACGAGGATGCCAATTTTTTTCAAACATCAACGAAAACATTAATTTTTTATTAAAAAAATACACATTCAGTTTGAACATCAAAATATGTAATTTTGATTTTTAATAAAATTAACAAGACCATGAATAATTTGATTTAAGAAACAACGTTATAAAGAAAATTCAAAAAGAATTATTTGATTAAATGAGCATTCAACAAGTATAAAATGTGGACCCTATAGTCATTTTTTATTATACTTTTATAATTATTCAGTGAATTGTATTATAAGTATCTGATAAGATATATATTAATTATAAATATTATTTTACTTTTTGTTATTTTTTATGTCCACGTGGGCAAATATATATGTTTAAAATACGGTATTAAATAGTCTAGGGAGGTAATAGGTCGTTATGAAAGTTTAGTATCGCAACAGCAAATTCGTATCAAAGTTGGGGTATTTTTCAGTACCCTTATCCCTTTTACTTTTTAAAAACTATTTCTTTGAGTAGTGATACTTTATTTTAAACAATCATCCCCACAATAATAATATAATTAACTTTTTTTTAATTTCCTTCAAAAGTTCTAATTTAAAAGCAAGGTAATAATCGACATTTCAGATCGTAACAATTAAAATAAAATGACTACATTTTAAAATCACAATAATTATGAAAGATTTTTTTTTATAAAAAAAAACACAACATGAATACACAAAAAAAAAATCATATTAAAATAAATTTGTCAAACTAACATACAATTACAACAACAATAATATATCCGGTATAATCCCACAAATTATTATAAATATTAATAATGATTAAAAAAAAGTAGCAAATACACATAATTTTTCTTGCATTTTTTATACTTGTAGAAAGTTTTTGCTTTAAAGTAGAAAAGTACATAAATGGCCCACTTGTCCATGTGTCAATAAAATAAACAGAGTCTCACACACCTTTTGTTGGTTGGGCCTCTACCATGATAAAAAATTTCAATATGCTCTTTTTTAGTATAATTTTTTTTATCATTATAATTTATCACCGTTATGATTTGTAATTTTTAACCTTTGTATGACACCATGATTATTTCAATTCAAATAAATTTGAGGTTGAGTTAGACTTATTAATTAATGTTTATAATTATACTAATGAAAACTTTCGTATGGTATATATATACACGTTATGAGTTGTTGTATATCTAGGAAAATTGAAATTACATATACAAGTCCTTACCATATATGTCAATAAAATGTACAACTAGATCGTAACCGGCCTAGAACTAGGATATATATATATATATATATGAGAGATTAGATTCAAGATTCATATCAAAACTTTTATCGTTGCGTCAAAACTTCACACATTTGAATATTATATCCCTTCATAAAAGGTGACATATATGCGTTTATTTTGGGTGCAACATGCAATGAATGAAACAAAGATAATTAAGAATTTATGAAAGTAGTGCCGTCCAAATCCAAGAAGTTAGGCATAAAAGTATTTATGTTAATTTTTGGAACCAATATTTTTTTACAATAAATGAAACTAGCTACTAGCTAGGTTTGTTGGGTTGTCTTGCACTAAGAAATTCAAATGATTCATCCATATTCCACAACATAAAAAAATACACTTTTTCAAGCAATGATTTATCCCTTTGAACTCAAAAAAACCTTTGACCCTATTCTAACTATGAAGATTAGGATAGTTAGATTATTTTAAATACTGAATTTATAGGTGTCTATTTGAAAATTATACGAAAAATACTATGAGTTGTCATCTTTCTCATATTAATATGATGAAAGATACGTCTCAAAATATTGATTAAAGTCTATGCAATTTAACTTTTAAAAAGTAAAACATGACAAGATATATAACAATCTGACTTCAAACCTCATTTTACCCTTGATGAAGCTAAGTACTGATAATCACACAATTTTTTATGATATGACTTAACTTGAGTCTGAGAGAGAGTAATATATATTATGAAATTTATAAATATTCAACAATAAACTTAGGTAGTACAATTACTATTTAAATGTTAATCTAAAGTTGATACACCTCTTCCTATAATTATTCTTAATGGATAGAATATTTAAAGGTATCTTTTTCTACCCTTTTTGTTGTGTTTTTAGGTTTTTTGCATTTGTGAAATATCCTCATGTTATAATATATTTTGGTGAATTATTAGTGATTCAATGGGATAGTCAAATGTAAAGGTTGACCTGGTCAGCGGTCAACAACACCCCACCCACACACACCTAAAAATTAAAGAACTTTCAAAAAATGAGATGGTTGATAAGGACGTTTTATTTTTAAAGTGATATTTTCGGACATAAATTTTAATCAAAAATCTCAAAACGTTTATCGAATAATAATACCGAATGAAAACTTAAAGAAGTAGCAAGCAGGGCCGACTCAATAACATTGGGGGCCTAAAGCGAAACTTAAGAGAGAGGCCCTATTTTATTTTTTCATCATATATACATTTATTTAAAATCTACTTTTCTACCTATTTTAATTAGATGTGAAGTCATGAGGTACTGTTTTATAATCAATTCGTTTTAATAATTCATTTTCAAATGATAATATAGCTAAGTCATTCAATCTTTTTTGAGACATTGTTGATCTTAAATTTAATCAATTTTAATTTCGAAAAAACTTCTTTCGGCTGAGGCAACGATTATAGGAACTCTTAACATTATTCTATAAGCAATATGTGTATTTGGAAAAGAATCAAGTCTTTTTATTTGATTGAGTATTTTTAATTAGATCATTATCTTTTACTTGTATGATTTCTTTAACACTTTTAATTCAAAAAATAAATCTAAATCATCAATATCAGAATAACTATTACGTGTTAAGAAAGTTCAAGGTTAAGACAATATTTTTTAAAAAATTATCATCATCTAGTGATCTCAATAGTTTACCACTAAACAAGAAATCAAAATATTTTCATATGCTTTAGTTGGTTGAAATCTATTTTGAAGTGAAAAAATAGTTTGATCTACTTTACATATATAAAGCAATCAACTCTAAAAGATTCTTCAAGGGATTTTGTGATTTTGCTATCCATATTTTCAGCAAATTGTTTCTTACGAAATTCAACTTTATTTTCATCTCATATGCAATTTCCTTAGTAAAAATCATAACACTCATAGTACATATAATTTTTATTTTTTTTTAAATAACGTATATAAGTAATTGTTTTTTTAAAAAATGGGGGCCCAAAATATATGATGCCCCAAGCGATGACTTTAGTGGCCTAGGGTTTAAGACAGCCCTGGTAGCAAGCCAAATGAAAATGTGACTAGCCTGAAAAAATATGTGCACACACTCGCTGATTGACCAAATAACATTAATGTGTTTTGCATATGAATTTTTATTACGTAATCGATTGTTAAATGACATGTATATTCTCTTTAATTTACAAATTGTTAAGTTATGTTATTTTGTTTTATGTAAATATCATAAGCAAGTAAAGATTTTCATAATTAAGAGTGCTTCCACCACCATCGTACCATCACATATATATAGAGTAACTACGTTTATCAATTAAGTTACCACTATTGTACATATACCGAGTAACTTTATATTACTATCGAAATAACTCCGTCCATCAGGACTTGAACTAAATTTCCATTTTCCCCGAGCCACCGATAGACCAATGCCTTCATATGTATACCACCTAAATTGCGCATGATTTCCCCGAAACACAATTAGAACAATGCCTTGATTTCCCCGAGACATTGATAGACCAATGCCTTCATATGTATACCACCCAAAATATTGCAAATTTGATATAACGCCTTTGTATATCACTTATTGCAAATTCTTGTATATCACTTATTGCAAATTCGATATAACGCCTTTGTATATCACTTGACGCCTTCGTATTTGAACTAAATTACCACCAACGCACATATACGCCTTCATATTTGAACTAAATTACCACCAGCGCACATATACCAAATAACTCTGTCCATCAATAGTTGAATTAGAGACACCAATAGACCAATGCCTTCATATGTATACCAATCTTTGATGAATCGTAGAAAAGCCTAAATTTGTTGGTCCAAAATCCTCAAACTTTACCAAGTCCAACTACACTTGCTTGGCCCAAGTAAAACTGTCTAGCTGTTTTAACAAGAAAACAAAGACCAACTAGGTGGGATTTTATGACATTATTCAAAGTTTATTACTAAAAGTTAACCAGAGACGGAGTCAACATTAAAAATTTAAAAATTCTAAAGAATTAAGAGTTTAGGGTTCCAAACTTACTTTTTGTTGATAATGAGAAAATTCTAAAGAATTAAGAGTTTAGAGTTCTAAACTTACTTTTTGTTGATAATGAGATTTAAACTCTTTGTTGATAATGAGAAAATTCTAAAGAATTAAGAGTTTAGAGTTCTAAACTTACTTTTTGTTGATAATGAGATTTAAACTCTTTGTTGATAATGAGAAAATTCTAAAGAATTAAGAGTTTAGAGTTCTAAACTTACTTTTTGTTGATAATGAGATTTAAACTCTGAACTCTTCAAGGTTGAAAATATTTTCACGACCCCTTCCTTACCATTAAATTGTCAATTAATTTATCCACGAATTAATATACATATATATTTATTTAATTTTCTAAAAAATATACAACAAAGCTACTGAATTCTTCCAAATTCAATAATATCCCCACATAACTCCGCCCCCGCTTTTAACCCCTTCAAATGTTTTATTTTGCAACAAACAACATTACTTCAAATTAGAGAAAGCAAAACCAACTCCACACCAGTGTTCAACATTAAAAAGTAAAATAAACTTTCAACAATAAGACATTTGAACATACATAGTTAAAACACTATATCAACTTCAAAAACTAAATTAAACCCTAGCTCCAGTGTAACCGGTCCCCTTCTCCGCGATTCCGGTCCCCGGGACTCCACCATGCGGTGCACCGACGCCATACTCGTTGTCCCTATAGCCCGGACCGTAGGTGCTATTGAACAATCCAGAGTGAAGCATAAGAACATAGAGAAGTTCAGTAATTCCAAGAACTATTATGAAACCTTCAAGAACTCTTAGCCTCCACCCTCTCCATCCTCCTATGTTAATCTCCTTACATGCCAACCTAACAAAAAAAAATCGACGAATTATATTTTACGATTTCTAATAATGTTGAAAATACAATTAACTGTGATAAAATTATGCTCTCTCTAACCGTGCAAGCTTTAAGATAAATACTTAAAACACAATTCAATATGATATCAGAGCAGATAAAAGTCTGAAACCTCTCGAAGAGACTCGTATCAAAAGGAATTTCTATATGCTTTGGCCATGAAAAGAATCAGGTCCACACGTGATAAGATGTGTTGAAATACAATTAACTAATAAAAATGTATTCTTTTTAACTGCTTAAACTTACTTATCAAACTTAAGTATCTTAGATAAGATGATCATACACGATTTATAACAAATAAAAAGAATTTGGACATAATCAAACATCATGATACTATCGTGTACAAGCTAAATTAATCGTCGTCTAGATATTAATTGAAGGTTAATTACCCGAAAGCAAGTGCAGTAACAGCCCACGCGATTAAAGCAGAGGAACCCGCAGCAGCAAGACTATCATTTCTCCATGCCCTTAGATGATTCGCGCCTAAGAGCTTCGATATTATGCCCAACACCGATGCTAATATCGCGAATATTAGGAAGAACATCGTCGCTCCATTTCCTCCGAAACCTGAATTTTTTAAAAACAAATCGTAATATTTAGTTCTAATCTTTTAAACGTGTGAATTATAAGGTGACTTCATATTTTTTGCCTAGACATATTATCGTATGTGTAATAAAAAAAAGGATAAAAGATCAAATTGATACCAATTTACTGAATATATAAATGTGTCATTTTAACGAAATAAAAAAAAAAAGTCATATGAAAGTAGAGGTATAACTTAATTACCTTTTCGTACGTAAAGGCATGGTGGAAGTTCATAGGTTCAAACGAACGAGTAACTTTTCAACAAATACAAATTAATAGATGGCTTAGTAAAAAAGGCATAGTGGAAATGTTTTTCACACTAATATTGTGGGTTCGAACTCCACTGTATCAACAAAAGTTTCTCTTTTTTGCAATATTACCCAAAACTCCTAATCTTGGATCCACCGCTGTACGTACGTACCTCTTAATCAAAGCACGAAAATATATACTATACCGAAAAAACAAAATTTAGCAAACGAACAAATCTTGTAACAAGTCGCGATAAATTTATGTTTAAAAGACAAATTAACGAAAAAATTCACAAGTCACGACACAAATTAACGACAAATATCACATGTCACGATAAATTTATGTTTATCGCATGTTAGCTACAAACAAATTAACGACGAAATATCGTAAAAAACTTACTAGGATGATTGGTTTGTCCATTGATAAACCTGTTGAGACACCAACTAGCAAAACCTAAAACAATAAGATACATTAATAAGTTCAAAAACAACAATGGTCCTGCTAAACTTCTTCCCACAGCTCTTGCCATTTCTTTTAATAAAATATTCGATATATTAAAACTTTGATCTAATTTTATTTTTTTTCACTTCTTTGGGTACGAATTTATCGATTTTCTAAGTTATGAGAGGTGGAATAATTAAACTATATATAAAGAAAGATATTAAAATACGTGTCAAAATTATTGCTTAGTTTGCTTGAATAGTTAACATGTGGAGGGACACTTGTCACTTTCTCTATATATTTTCTTGATTTGCACTTTTTATGTAAGCAATATAATGTTTATCCATATACGATAATATTTTTTTTTCTATGTTGATGACGTTTTTTTGTATTTTTTTGAGTGTTATGTCTTATATTGAGGCTACTGGATGAAACATATAGAAGTGCACTGATTATTTTGATATCGTTATTTAATTTATGTTATTTTTTTATTTTTTTTATGTGTATGGATTTTTGAATAACTTGAGTTTCAAGTTTCATATGATTAATGAAGTTAAAAAATATAATTAAGTTCATGTATATTATTATATATATGATGATCGAAATTAAATAAAAATATTTGAAATTAAGTAAAAATGACTGAACTTCAATTCAGGCAAAAATAAGTAAACTTCACTCGTACAATATCAGATATTTTGTTTGAAGTTTCGTCAAATCTTATTTCAGAGTACCTTAATTTATATCGTTGATCATTTAATAAAAAATTGTTGATCAAAGAACCTTAATTATGTCCTAAATTTGCTAGGTATAAGTAATTTTGTAGAGAAATCTTTTTAGAGTGTGTTTGCTTTGGGGCATAGTTCTGTAATATTTGATTCGTACGTAGAACTTTTTGAGAATTTTTGTTATGGGACATTACTTCTGTCATTAAACTTATGCCTTGCAAATTTTATTCCGATGTTAAAGATATTTTCAAGTATTTTTTGTTACTTAAAACTTTAAACGATAAAAATTAAGAACCAACACAAAATAAGGACATTTTTATAAATGTCCAAGTCCAATTACATGAATCAAGTAAAATCCAACTTCATTTGCATTGGACCATTTAGTTGGTCTACATGACTATATTCTAGGCCCATTTTGGATTTCTTGCTATTCCAAAGACCCAAACATGTCATGATCTCTAAATTTGTTTTTTGTTTTTTTTGGTTTTTCACCTAGTGTCCGAATTCCATATTGGAGCTTCGATTAAATCCGGATCGCACACTGCAGGGTCCATTCGGGGGTGGCTCCCCCAACATGATTTTCTCCATACCCAGGGCTCGAACCCGATACCTCTGGTTAAGGGTGAAACACTCCCACCAGTGCATCACAACCCGGTGATCTCTAAATTTGTTGTTACAACTAAAATTGGGTAAGATTGTGTTAGGTGTTTGTTATGTTTTTCCAAGGCACCATCCCTTGGAAAGGTTACCTTTTTGGTTGGTGGGTGCTCCTATCAATTAAAGTTGATAGCGAAAAAAGTGAGTCCCACATTGATGGTGTGGATGGAGATTCGGGTCGTTTGGTCATAATTTCAAATCATGACATGAAATTATTGATTAGATTTCATAAACAGGAAAAATCTCATAATTTGCTACTATTGAATTTTTTTTTATTTCTAAAATCTTATCAAATTAGTAAAATCATAACTCATAAATAATGTATCAAAATATCTTAAGATACCGTATTGATAAATCATATATTTTATGTTCCTTTTATAAGTAAATATTTGTGATTACATTTATTATAATAAAAATTTTAATTATACATGATTCTACAAAGATCTGTCGGTCCAATAAATTAACAATAGTAATAACTAGCTATTTTTTTAGTCTAGCTCATATCATTCCGACAATCTCTTCATATTAAACATGATATTTGTTTACAAATTTAAAATTATAAGTATTTTTGGCAAAATCTAAACTTATAGGTCATGTTTTAAATATTAAGAAAATTAAAATCACAAACGTAGATTGAACTCCTGCCCTTTAATAGGATTTGAGATTTAAAATCATAAGTTTCAAATTGAGTTGGAATTTTGTCCAAAAGTCATAAATAAACTTTGATTTCGAATTATGAAAAGAAGACACATATATATCATTCTAACATATTAAAATATTATAAATAATTATATCAAAAAGTCATGGGATCGATAGAATCCTCTTTCAGCAAAAAATTATATTACAAAGTCTCAAATAAATATTCTATTTTTATGTACGTAACAAAACAGATTTAATGATGAAAAAATAATTTCAAATTGCTATCAATACAAAAATAAATCACTACAACTCGATATTTTTACGCATATGAATAAATATATTATTAATTCAAATATATTAATCCATCAATTATGTCATTCCAAGTTCAACAAAATCCAAATATAAATATTAAAGAAATGAGTGAAAACTAGAGACTTTTTAATTAATTAATTCTATGTGGTGGTTGAATGATTGAAAAGAAATCAAAATCTTACAACTAGAAAAGTCAAAAGTGCCAATAAATAAATGCATTTTTCAGAATTTAGCGTCAAATCTGTAAATGAAATTCAATTGGAGGGCAACTGAAAAAAATTCCAATTATTTTTAAGCAATGTATTTTTTTCCCTACCAAAAAAGAAAAACACAAAATTTGAATTTCCCAGCATTTTTAACATTTTATATTTATATACATGAAAAGTCGTAAATCCCACAATTATTATTATTATTATCGATTTTGTAACTTCTTACCAATATTACTTAACTACTTTATATTTTTACTAGAGACTGATGAATTTGTATAGTATTAAATTATTTTTTCTATTGATATTGTAAGTGATTATAGAAGATCATTTCCTCGTTTAATACGTAACTTAGGTACGTGTAACTGTCATTATGACTTTGTCAAATTTTTTTGGTACTTGCGCATAGTGGAAGACAACCAATTGAGTTGTGGGTCCCATATGATGGGATGTTTTAACTAATCAACAACAATTTGTCATATTTTCCTCTGTTTCATTTTATATGATATTATTTTATTTAAATGAAATGTATTTTAAATTATATCTTTACCTAATCAACAACAATTCGTTGTCTTTTCATCTGTTCCATTTTATATGATATTATTTTATTTAAAATTAATATATTTTTAATTATATCTTTTTAATCATTAAATAGATAAGCTTTACTTTTTAAAGAGTTTAGGGAAAACGATTAAAATAATATCTATAGCATGATGGAATTTGTAATTAAGCGAGGTGTCAAATTTATATTTTTATTTGTAATTAATCTAGGTGTCAAATTTTATTTTTTTTAAATGAGTCTAATCGTAACTTGGAAAACTCACATGTCGAAAATCGACTAAAACATACTATTAATCGATCCACAACACTAAAAAATTACATAAAACCTATCTTAGGGCAAAAAGAATATCAGTTTCTAATCAATTCTATGGATAATCAATAAATTAACAATGTTATAGTGAGGAAAGGGTAAAATGGGATATAAGATTCTTACCCTAAGCTAAAGCCTCCCAAATTCGAGTTCCCAAACTTCAAAATTTGTGAATAGAACTTAAAGTTCGAAATTAAGGATTCAACTTTCTACCCATGTTTCTTGCTCTTTGCGATCACAAGACCTAAGTCAAACCTAATCTTTCGCGAACGCAAAGTACTTAAATAACCCTACCCCAACCTCGACTGAAACCCCTTCTCCGTGAGTGCGACCTAGGCCAGTGGCGGATCGAGGTTTTTAAAGTTGTGGGTGCTCTCTTAGCTTAATAGTGGAGGAGAAAATTTTCACATGGTGAGATTCGCTCAGGTTCTGCAACACTAAAACAATCATAAGCACTCACCATGAACCATTAGACCAATCAATCCACTTGTTTACTAGGTGCTCTATGTTAGTTTTATACCAATGCTTCTTGATTTCTTCATAGATATATATAGTCCGATACAAGATTAATGAGTGTTCGAGCACCCGACAGACTCTATGTGGGTTTGCCCCTGACCTAGACCACCGCAATCAATATGCATTTCTTAATGGAATCTTTGCAATTGTCGACTTTTCTATATTCTCTTAATAAACTCTCATGATTCATTAGAAAATCCTATAAACATATACTAAATATGCAAGTTGCAACATGACTAAAAATCATGTTACAGACCCGTTTGATTTATCAAATCACCGATCCAATACTGTCTTGACCAAATATCGACCGAACTCAATTCTAAGATCCTTAAACTCCACAATTTTAACCAACGATCCAAGTCACTTTCAAATCTAATGTAACTTCCGTAATTCCATTCCGAGCTTGTTTACTTAGAATATTGACTTTGGTCAAACTTTACAAATGTCAAACTTCCAAAATTATAAAACTTCTTTGTAACTCATCCTATCACCTCAAGAATCGTGTCACCTATCTCCACAAATCACAAATGACATATGGAAGCTACGGAAAGAATAAAAACAAGGTAAATTTAGTGAGAACATAAAAAATAGTAAGGATCATTACAAAATAACAATTCAAATTCAAATCAACTTGATCTCACATCATGTCCAAACAAGCCTTGTATTTACTATTTTCTTCTGACACGAATAACTTATACGATAATTCAAAATATGTGATTTTAAAAATGAGATAAAATGTGAATAAACTTAGATAGAGCTATCACAAACAAATTTAAATAGAGCTAGTAACTAATAATTAGACAGTCCAACATCTAAGGATATAAACTCTTATAAAACCCCATTGAAAACTAATGGAAGTACTCAATTTATTTAATAAAATGACTTCATTGAAAACTAATGAAAGTGAGAATTTAAAACTTTTGATTTCATTTTTATCTCATGGAAAAAAACCTTTTGATTTTAAAATTTTGAGATCATGTTATGCATTCGAGGGTATGATATAATAATTAATGAAGTGGAATGAAAATTACAAGATCTAGAAATCAAACTTCAGCAAAGATAGTATTTTATACATGATTTTTTTTATATTTATCTTAACTTAGCGTTACTTCATACATGATACTATACTAATTAATAGAATATGACAATCACGTGAATTCAAAGTATTTTCACCCTTCTTTTTGTCGAAAAA